CTTTCCACTACGTCTTCCACTTTAATATTTCACTCAGCACTCTAAATTTATGTCAGCTCTAGGTAAGGTCAAACCCTTCTCCTATGATCTAGATTATCAGGTTCCTCATTGAGGATATGTGTTTAGAGGCAGACTTTCCCCCTCTCACACTGTGGACACTCACAATTTTTAACCTGTCTCACGGAGTTTGCAGCAGCAAACCACTTCTTTCAAAGGATTTGTGAATTCTTTTGCTTTTCCTAATATGTTCCTACAGTGTTTGTTGGGGCAGAATTTCGTAATATCAGTCTCTACATGCTGTTCTGTCTGAGTAGGAGCTAAAAGTTAATCTTACCTCCTATTTTCCATTTTTTCTATTCTTTTATCACTATGAAGACAGAACCTTGTGAAAATGTCAATGAAATATAAATGTTCAGATTTACTTTTATATTCTCTATTTTGTTTAATTGATTAATATGTTTATTTTTATGTCAATATTATTCTCTCTTGGTTACTGTCTTCATAATAGCACTATACTAGAATCTGATGACTGATCAAAAGAGATGAAGTTTCTTATCTTTTGTTGATCATATTTACTGGAGAAAAGACAATATACAAACATATTTTACTAAATCATGTAATTTTAAGAGATACGGGAGGTAGGGCAAGAAAGCAGAAATTTACAAATGTTACATTTTTAAGTAGGTCAGGGCAAGCATCTGCAAAGCAGCAATAATTGAGCAGAAAACAATTGAAGCAAAAAGTGGACATCTGTAGATAAAACATTTCAAGTAGAAGGAAGGATCATGCAGCATGCATCATGGTCAAGTTTGATTCTTTAAACAAAATAAATTGTTGACTGCTTCCAATTTTTGTCACATGCATTGATGATTGAATAATTGCTTCACATACAATTACAGTCATCTTTCTTACTATTTTAAAACACTGCAGATTAATTCTTTGTTTTTAATATCAGTTCATTTGTACACATTTTTGAAATAGATACTACATTTAAAAAAAATATTTATTGAGTATCTTCTAGGTATGAGACACTATTCTTGGAACTGAGAATACAGCAGTGAACAAAAACGACAAAAACCTATATTTGTTCTTCTGGAGATTCCTCTGTAGTGTAATTTTATGGTTGGTGAGGCAAAGGAAGGCTGGCGGTAAACAAAATATGTGAGTAAAATTCATAGTATGATGATGAGAGAATAATAATCGAGTGTCAGAGGGAGTAATATTATAAAATTGTTAGAGAAGACCTCATTGGGAAAGTGTCATTTGTATGGATACTAGAATATGGTAAGGGAGTGAGCTATGCAGCTATAGGGAAATGAACATACCAGACAGAAAGAAAAATAGAAACAAAGATTCTCAGTGAGGATCTATAACTTACAGGGCCTTAAAGCTGTTCTTTGGATTTTATCCTGAGTGATATGTGAAGCTAATGGAGTATCTGAGCAGAGCAGAGACATGATGTGACCCTCACTGATGTGTGAAGATTTACACAGGGGAATGAGTTTGGGGAAGAGAGGCTGTGAGTGGTCAGGAGAAAAGCTCAGATGCAAGTATGAGAGTATTGTAATAATTCAGGACCAGCCTGAGAGTTGTGGAGGAGGTGAGAAATCATCAGATTCTGGGTATATTTTGAAATTAGAGTCTAATATGAATGTGAGAAATAAAGGAATAAATGATCCTAATATTGTGTGTGTGCATGTACACACATGGGTGCAACTGGAAAGATAGAATTACAGTGTATGGGGATTATTGTCTTCCCTGGACAATAGTCCCTGGAAATGGGGATATTACAGGAGGAGAGGTTTAAGAAGGGAAGACTAAGATACCATGTTAGAAAATATTAAGTACAAGATGCCTATTAAAGATATGTAAGAAGATAGTGAGAAACTAATGGATAAATCTAGAGTTCATAATTAACTTGGCCAGAGAAAAAAATTTTGAAATGATCCACATATGGATAGGATTTAAAGACATGAGAGTAGATGAGGTCACAAACGGACACAGTAAGGTTATTTGCTGAGATGCTTCAATTTAGAAGCCCACAATAAAGAATTTAGAGTAAATGAGGTGTAAATAGGTAAGTCAGTGAGCTAGAAGGCAAACCACAAAGAGTAGTGTAGGAGGGAATTCTCGGTTCTGAAAAATGTTGCTAATAGTTCAAGTCAGATGAGGAGTATTACATGTAGCATTTAGGTAATTTATGACTTAGGAAGAGTAGTTTCAGTGGACATTTGGGGGCAAAAACCTGGTAAGAGTGCGCTCAAGAGTGAATATAAAGAGAGATATTGAAAGCAATAATTAGACAAGCTTTTTCTCTGTAACAATAGCCCCGAAATAGGGCAATATCAGAAAAAAATGGGATCAAAAGAGAGACTTTTGAAAGATGAAAAAGTGACAGAATGCTTAAATGCTGATAGAAACTTTTCTTTAGAAATAGGATAGTGATATCCTTAAAAACACAAGGGGAATATGATGCAAGTGGAGGTTAGCCTTAGCTTAAGCGTGGGTAGTTCACTAAGGTAGACAATGTGGTACTGGTGCTTTACATAGATAAGTGTGGTCAAGGGAGCTTTTGGAAAGTTTCTGCCTTATTATTTTTTTTCAGTAAAATAGATCATCAGCTGAAGGCGAAGGGATGTATTAGAATTAAAAAAAAAAAATGAAGGCACAAAATAGAATACAAAATGACGTGAATGATTTCTTAGCAAAATGTATGGTCCATTTGGGCTTCCTAATCATACATTTAAAGTCAGCATGGTTGAGAGATTTTCTTCAGCTACACTTAGCTCCATGAAAGAAATGTGCAGAGTTATTTAAGAGTTAAATTTAATTGGCCAGTCACGTTGGCTCACGCCTGTAATCCCACCACTGTAGGAGGCTGAGGTGGGTGGATCACAAAGTCAGTAGTTCAAGACCAGCCTGGCCAAGATGGTGAAACTCTGTCTCTACTAAAAATACAAAAATTAGCTGGGCATGGTGATGGATGTCTGTAATCTCAGCTACTCAGGAAGCTGAGGCATGAGAATTGCTTGAACCCAGGAGGAGGCAGAGGTTGTAGTGAGCCTAGATCGTGCCACTGAACTCTAGCCTGGGTGATAGAGCAAGACTGTGTCTCCAAAAAAAAAAAAAAAAAGTTTAATCAAGATTGTGGCCTTCACATGTATTAAAATAATGCAAAATAGTCAAAATGATATGAAGTTATATGGAAGAGAGTGATTATCATGACAATGAAATTAACCCGATATATAAATAAGGAATAGTGAAATCTCCAGCAAAATTAAATTGTGCATTACACATCAGGGTCAGTGGAACCGTGTGGATTTAGGAGGTTACTGAGTATAAGCTAGAATGATAAAGAGTGGTGCTCCAATCTTTGAAAAATATCAGCTGATCATTTTAAGCAATTTTTGTTATATAATTGACACATGGCTGTTAGCATAATATTGATCTTGAAAGATGTTTTGTAACATCTTTCCTTTGATGTACTCTTGTTTTTCCATGACTCCTACAAAATGAGCAGTCTAATTATTTACACAATTAGGAAAAGAAACGGGGCGCAGAGAATGCTCTTTGACCTGTGAAAATACTACTGAATTTTACAACTAGCTGCTTTAGCTTATGGATTAAAAAGGTTGTTAGTTAATTTGTACTATTTTATCTTCATTATATATATGTATATATGTATGTCTCCAAACATGCTGATGTGTTTTCAATGAAATAGATGCCTGAAGAGAAAACCATTAGTCTGAGAACACCCAAACTATATTCCCATTGTGAATAAAAGGAAGTCCATAAAAATGATGAAAAATATTCTGTATTCCTGCTATGATCTCAAAATCTGGCAGTACATGAAAAATTTTCAAAGTGCTTATTTAAAAGGCACAATCTTTGGTCTCCTGAATCAGAATCTGCTAGGTATAGGACTGGATTGCTATTTTGACAACTCACTGGTAGATTCTTACTCAGCAGAATATTTTCTTGGCCCCCAATCTCCATTTCTCAGTTCTGCACAATTGTTCTTCCTTTCTACATTCTTTAGTTTGTCCCATGATTCCAATATTTCCAGAAATTCACCAAGAATAGAACTAATCCATCAGATAACCATGACACAGACTTCAAATACATTTTGCTGCAACCATATCGACAAATGTCCCATGAATGATAAGGGGTAACCATATTCTCATATATGCATCCTCACATTATCACACACACACACACACACATATATATGTATACACACACACATATATATGAGTATACATGTAAATTGTGTATATATGTATACATGTATGTGTGTGTACATATATACACATATATCTTCACACTTTTCTGAAATATGTATATTCATGTGAGAGAAGGGTCTGTACTTTATTTCAAAAGAGAGCTTAATGTCTAAAATGTTTGAGTTGTTGAATGAATTAAACTTTATTTCTACTCAAGAAAATTTTTAACTGGGACAAGCTCTCCCTTTCTCTAAAAGTCAAGTCAATAAAAGGAAACTGTGGTTATTAATAATTCTTTCAGGTTTTGATGTAAAGAATCTATCATACAAAGCAGCCTTAAATTTTGTCATTCAGAAAAATGGTCTTGCAGTTAATTGGGACTTTCCTATTCCAGATGGTATATCCAGTCTCCATATATATCATATTAGAACCATAGCTAGCAAAGAGGGTATATTTTAATTTTTCAATGCCAATGTAACCTATAGGCATATTTTCAATTTGCCTTAAATTATTTCCCATTTGGAAGTTTTAAATACCTTGAATAATTTATTGTATTTATATTTTTAAAGAAAAAAAATCTTATGCAGCCAACTTAATTGAATAAACAAGTAAAAGCCATTCCCAAAAGTAAGGTTTACTTGTTAACATTAATATAAAATAATGTGGGAATGCTGAGAAATTATTAATATAATCTTTAAATATTGGCATCTGGAGTGAACTCTTAAAATTAACTAGCGTTTTTTTTTTGTTGTTTGTTTTTTTTTCCTGTTTGACTAGAGCAATGACTTAATAAGATGGTTAATCATCATTGGACTTATCTTCAAAAAGTCAACTACTTTTTCAGGGAAATAAAGGATGGACTTGTTGCTGTTGCTGTAGGATTTTAAGTCCAGGTAAGAACCACTGAGATTCTCAATTTTTAACATATATTTTATGTAAGAAATTTTCACTAATTTCATGGAAAAAGATTTTGATGGTCTTGATAAATATTACAAATTTTATGCCCTGTGTCTTCTACACACTTACATTCTGAGTCCTCAAAACTTTGTAAATATTCCTTCTGTAAGTACAAGAGCTCAGGTTTATATATTGTTAACAATACCTTTATATATTTAAATATGAAGTTTCAAATCTTGATCTTATTAATTTCTAAACAAATAACAATTAAGTCTCAAAAAATGAAGCTCTAGTTACCTTCTTAAAATACGCTACAGGATAAATATTTTTATCAACTACATTGACTGGTCACAGTAGACTCCTTATTTCTTTTATTTCTTCTTAACTGGATGAAGGTGGCCAAGGGTAAGGGTAGAGGGAGGAATTAATTGGAAAACATAAAAAAATAGGTGTTTCAAAGTCACATAACCACCTCAATTTCCTTGTTTCAACTCAAGTTTGATACATGGTGAAGGAAAATATATTTTCTAGATAATTTATCTCCCATTAGATAAGCAAAAAGTCTTCTCAGCACAGTTTTTGGCATAAACTAAAGCCTCAATAAATTAGTTTCCTTCTCCGATTCAGAAGGAGAAGGAAAGATAAGACAATCATTTTTATTGTGAAAGTAAGGTGGAGATGGGGATGTCTCCCTATGAAAGGTCTAAGAAGTTAGCAAATGCTGTTTTTCCCTTTTGCTCCTCAGTTGTATAAGTACATGGTAGAAATTGGGTCACTTTGCCTAAACTGGTTTTCTATGATCCATTAAATATTAAAAGCTTGACAGATAAGTAGAGGCTGATATGATTCTGCCCTATACCCACTCCTATCAAATTTGGAAGAACTGACCTATCCTATTCAGGGAAGAGTTGTAATGCTACATCCAAATGCCTGTGATTCTATCTATCTTATAAACATACTATGTCCCCAGAATTCATTTATGTAAATCATTTGAAACTTAGAAAAAAAAATGGTCTGAGAAAAATATGTTAAATGTCAAGGTGAATTAGAAGGTACAGCATGTAGTCAAGCCCAAATTAATATTCCAACTTTCTAGTTACTTTGGAGTTGCTTATTTAACCTTTTGGTAACATGAGGAACAATGTGTCCACCTATTTTTTTCTGAATATTTTATCTGAAGATCTAGGAGAGAAATGTGGAATAGTTGTCTCAGGAAGTGGGGGAAATACAAAGAAAAGTAATGACTTCAGGTATATTCTCCACTGGTACAGCAGAGTGGGAGATATTATCAATAGGCGGTAAATATGAAAACATTGAAGAGGTACAGTTTGGATCAGCTTTACAACCAAGAGATGGAGAAGGACATTCAGGATTGGAAGAAACAGAGGAAGGCAGAGAGCTTTCTTCTTGGGACTGTGGTTCCATGTGTCTGCAAGTGCTTATGGGTGTATTGAAAGCATGACTAAAAACACAGGCTTGGTTTAGGTTGTGAAGACCCTCAAACAGAAGCTAAGACTTTTATTTTGTGTGGTAAGAGGGATTTTTGAAAGATTCTTAGGATAAATATGATATGTATAGGCTAGAAAGAAAGGTGGGAGACAGGAGAAACAAGTTAATCAATTGAAATAAACCAGGTTTGGAGTGGTGAGAAAATAGCCTTCAAGACTTTAAGAATATTTGCTAGCGGAAAAAAAATAAAATCCTAAAACTAAGGGAGGACTATCCACCTTGCAGGTCGTACAAAGAGATTTGCTATTATAGAATTACTTTTTTATTATTTCCTAATATTCAAATTATGAATAAATAGAAACAGATATTCATGGAAAAAGTGGTGTAAAATTTATCAAAGTGCAACTTTAATAGGTTGCACCTTGAGACTACTCAGCCATTGATTTTTTTCTTCACCTCACTGAATCCAGAAACCTGACATATCCAGGTATACCGGCATACGTAAAACACACACATACAACAATGGAGTCACTTAGAGGTACATAGATATGAGTTTCTGCATTCAAGCATCTGTTTCTATATACTCACATATACGTAAGTGATAATATCCTAAACTATTTGTTATTTCCATATTTATGCACTATCCTTTAAATATGTATTACATATATTATTCAGAATCAATAACCCTTGTAGAATAAATTAATAAAATTAGAGTAAAGCCTCATTATTCACAGATTCTATATAAGCAAATTTATCTACTCATTAAAATTTATTTGTAACACCAAAATCAATACTGCTCGACTTTCATGGGCATTCACATACATGTGCAGAGTGGTGAAAAATTTGAGCTGCCATGTTCCCTAATGAGGTAGAGCAAAGTGAAGCTCTGCCTTCTTGATTCAGCTCACATACAATAAACAAGTATTCCATTCACAGTGTACTTATTGCCACATTTTTGGCATTTTTGTGTTTTGTATTTCTGAGTTTAATGTTTTGAATGGGCCCCAAAGATAGTGCTGAAGTGCTTACCAGTCCACAAGAGTATCTGAGGGAAAAGGTACATATGCTATTTAAGCTTCCTCTAAGTGAGAACCACAGTGTTATTGACAACTAATTCAATGTTAATGAATCAAGGGTATGTATTAAATAAATTGTCTTTAAACAAAACATGCATAAAACAAGGTTCTATATTGAACAATTTACAAAGATATTGTGACCAGAGGCACACAGGCACATAACTAACCCTGCATCTTTCCAAGGAACAATGGTTCAATATTTGCTAATTCAGTTTCCTAGCAATTTTATAAAACATAACTACTGCAAAAAGTGAGAATCAACTTGTATATTATATAATTAGTGCCCTACTATACTGTGTCTGCTTATATAGATATTTTAGATACATATGTATTGTTTACATATATATGAATAAAAATATATTTCTAAAACCCCATGAAGAACACATTATATTCTATATAAAAGAGTCAATTGAAGTAAAAAGTTAACTCATTTTACTAGTCTTTAAAATAGGACCTTAATGACTCTCAAAATAACAATTTGTGTTATTCTTTGACTCCAAAACTCTAGTTGTTGAATTCTTTCTGCAGATATGACCACATAAAAACACAATGGCATATGATACAGTAAGAATATTTTAAATATGAAATGAATAGATACAACCTAAATTGCTGACTAATATAGAATGAGTTACCCTGCTACCATAAGAAAAAGGAGATCAACTTTTATTAATACAAAGTTAAGTATATAGAAAAGATAAAAAGGTAGGGAATGATGTTAGAGTTATGCTGCCATTTGTGTTGAAAAAAATATTATGTACTTAATAAAATATATATTATGTTTCTGGATAAGACAAGTTAAAGGAAGCATCTTTGTTTTTTTAAATTTGCATTTTCAACTACATATGTTTTCTGAACAAGTTCAACAAAATCAAAATGAATAAAATGAAAAGAAATGAGCAAAATTAAAGTAACATCATGACTGGTAAGGTCAAGCATTACCAGAGTTGCTCGGAGAGGTACTCGGAGTACACTTTGCTCTTTTTAACAAATCCAAATTCTGTCTGCTTTTTGAGCTGATTCCAGATATATCCTTTTCATAAAACTGTCTAAGGCCATTCTAATTTAATTCTTTATATTATTTTTGTACCCATTTTGAATACTATGTGCAAGGGGTTAATTGGCACATTTTAAAATTATAAGGATGAAGAAAACATATATTTTAGCTTTTATAAATTTTACAATATAGGTGTGCAGAAAATATAATTTAAATTTCTGTAATTTAAAATGTTTGTTCATGTAATCTGGTAAGTGATTCTATATTATTCATTTGTTTCAAATTTCTCTCCACAAATTTATTTTTCTATTAAGTTACAATCTTCTTGGGCTAGAATTTGTGTCTGTCTTTACTACTTTTGTGTCCAGGATTGACCTAGCTCAGTGATAAAGACATAGTAGATCCTGAATGCATATTAGTGAATGGTTGATTGTTAGATGGTGACATTGTGGTTTTTCTTATTTCTAAGTTATATACTATAAAAAAAACAAAACTATACTTTTTCTTCCTTAATAGGTGATTGTTTCAAACTAAGCATCAACCACAATTAAAAATACTCATATGATATCTGTATTTCAATCATGGACAAAAATCAATATTTGATTAAAACTGCAGAGGCACAATCTTCAGAGAATGAGAAAACAAGATACTGCAATGGATTTAAGGTAGAATACATTTTATGTTTTTGAGCTAAAATAAATAAGAAACTTTTAATGTATAGAAAGGCAGGTTGCTAAAAAGAACATTGTATTTCAAATTATAATTTTCAATTGAAACATATATTCAAATACTAACATAATGGTTCATAATTTGATTTAAACCAGTCTTTTAATCTGATTAAGTATTTTTTTCATGAAATTTTTGATGCTTAATAGTTTATCAATGTGGAAAATTTTATAAGTATTTTGATAGCTTCTCTGGTTTTTGGATACATCATGAGACACTTATAAATGTGATTAAAGTAAAAAGTACATAATGAATAATATGTTTAAAATTCTTAGAATTAACTTATAAACCTAGAATATTAATGTCTTGGAATTCATTTTGTGATACTGACCTATGTAAATATTCCTTTTTCCAAAAAAAACCAGCATTTAAAAAAATTCTGATAAGTAATTTGGGCTCATGGAAGAGAGGTCTATAATAGTGAAAAACCTGGCCCAAAGACCTGTTTGATGATTTAGAAAAGCCATTTAATTTTTTCATTTGCAAGCTGGTAAAGGTAATAATTCTGCCTTTTGCTTTTGACACAAACAGTATTAAACAATACAGTTGAGGTATTAAATGATGCTGGCATTTTTATAAACAGGAATGAGTACTTCTAAGCACAGTGCTAAATGGGAAGCTAAGACTCAGAAAAGAAATTTACCTGAAGTCACCTGCATTGTGAATTGAAAACCCTGGAACCCAAGTCAAAGCCTTTAAATCTCCATAGGGAAGCCTTGAGAAAATAAAGAAATAAATCAGGGTCACCTTTTAGCAATATTTTAAATTTTTTATTTACTCAAATTTGTAGTCTTATACAGCTAAATAAAGACCACCAAGATTGAAATCAATTGAAATAATGTTATAGAAGATTCCTTTTAGTTTTGTCCAGGGAACAAAATTTGTTTGTTTTCTGAGATTACTGATTAAGTCTGCTCTGATTAAGTATTTGAGTAATATTTAGGCAGAATGGCAGTCATAAGGAAAAAGTATTGGTTAATGCAAGTGAATTACCCTCTATATTCTAAGAGTAATAAAATGCACTGAATTGTTTTTACTTTTAAATACTGAGTGTTACAGTGACTTCACTGACATGTGCATAGCAAAATAGAAGGAAACTGCCTGAAACAATAAAATTTCCAGAGTAATCTCTTATAGCATATTTGGAGAAGCTGGGTGTCAGGGAATTAGCAGTATATGGAAAGGACATTCTCTACAGTCCAATAAAGAAGATCACAGCTAGAGGAAGATACTGGGATAAGATTGACATCACTAATGTTGGCATTTTAGAAACATCGCTAAATTGGTTAATCCTGTCCACAAGTGATATTTAAAATAATATTTTCACTAACTTAAATTGTTAACATTGATATGTTTTTGAGAAAGAATATTAAGCTCAACAATCATTTTACAATAATTCTGTAAAGACTTATGTGCCTGTAGTTGAAGTTTGTTGCATTTCTGAGCTTACATTTTTCATTCATGAGGAATGAAGACATAATGGGAGAAAATTTCTAAAATAAATGATATTTTAATTTTTTATGAAGTTTGAGATTTCAAAGTATTAACCGAAGTTACTGAAAATATATCGACTTTTACTTTCATTAAATTACATTTTATCTGATTTCTTAATTTTCTGTATTTGAAATATGAATTAGAGATATCGCTATAGATAGATAATAAAAACATAATGATAAAACAAATATAATTCAGGAGCATAAAAAGGTGAGAGAAACCTTAATAATAGTAGCTAACAGTTATTGAGCATTTTCTATATGTCAGACATTGGTCTGGTGTTTTACTTTTGCTAACAGATTTCTTTCTTACCACAATTCTATCAACTGGATGCTATTATCTCCCCTTTTAAAATGAAAAAACTTAGGTATAGGCAAGGCAAATGTCTTCTCGTAGGTCTCAAAGTTGGTAATTGGTGCATGGAAGGTCTGAACTCAGGCAATCTGATTCCAAATCCTATGCTCTCAACTCTATTCCATATTGCTGAAGTAAGTGTGGATTTTTGTAATATTAGTACCCTCAAGAGGTTATGGCAAGCAGAGTTTTATAAGTGGTCTCTTTAATAACTTTCCTCATTCCATACTTCTAAAAATTTATCTTAATATTAAATCATTAAGTGTCAATCAACCATGGATTCTAACACTTGCTAATATGCATGCACACACCCAAATATTCATGTTGTTACTGACTTGCAAATACATACTCATCAGGTGGCAACATATGAGTGCAAATAGATAATGTAACCAAGTAAATAAAAACGATATTTTGATAAATCAAATACTTTGATTCTTTTCTACCCCTTTTCCTCAATTTTTGTACTGAACTAACTACATTATGTAGAACTTGCTAGTATATTCTTCATCATTACATTTGTCATTTCTTCTCTTCAAATTTAATCTCAGCAAGATACAGGAGAAGGTTTAAACACAATCCAAAAAACAGTAAAACAACTTAAGAATTTAAACATTAAGTAGTAATTTTAAGAAAGCACCAAACTTCTGGAATTGAATATTTTACTACAGGAATATCATAATACAAACGTAGTATTTAACAACAAAATAGACCAAGCTTAAGAAAGACTCTCAGAGGCCAGGCACAGTGGCTCAACCCTGTAATCCCAGCACTTTGGGAGGCCAAGTTCGAAACCAGCCTGGCCAACATGCTGAAACCCCGTCTCAACTGAAAATACAAAAATTAGCAGGGCATGGTAGTGTGCACTTGTAATCCCAGCTACTTGGGAGGCTGAGGCAGGAGAACTGCCTGAACCCGAGAGGCGGAGGTTCTAGTAAGCCGAGATCGCACCACTGCACTCCAGCCTGGGTGACAGGGCAAGAAGTTGTCTCAAAAAAAGAAATAAAAAAAGAAGAAGGAAAATAAATAACCTCAGAGTTTGAAGGTTACCTCTTTGAATCAACACAAGCAGACAAAATTAAAGAAAAAATATTAATGAACGAAAGCTGTGAGAAATATGAGATCATGTAAAGAGACCAAACCTGTGACTCATTGGCATTCTTGAAAGAGAAGGAGAAAGAATAAGCAAGTTGGAAAAAGTATTTGAAGATATAGTCTATGAAAAATTTCCCAATCTTGCTAGAGAGGTTGACATGCAACTTCAAGAAATTCAAAGAATCCCTTCAAGATACTGTATAAGACTGCCATCTACAAAACACACAGTTATCAGATTCTCCAAAGTAAACATGAAAGAAAAAAACCTTAAAGGCAACTAGGGAAAAGAAGCAGGTCACTTACAAAAGGAGCCCCATCAGTCCAACAACAGAACATGCTTTCTGTCCTGTCACTTTAAGAGAACACCTAAAGCGGCCAGAACCAGGCAGCGATGGGGGGAACTAAAAGTGGCAGGGCCAGCCAGGTTTAAATAAAGGTGCAGTTTTTTTCCTTCAAACTCTCTTGGCTTTCTTTCTCTGTCTCTCTCTTTCACTCTCTCTTTCAGCTGCTTCTCTGGAACAAAAACCTGTGGGAGGTGAAACAGGCAAAAGCTATCTGCAGTTAGGGGGGTAAAACCAGGCGTTGGGCTTGCACGTGGGGCAAAGTGGGCAAGCACTTCCCCCAGGCCTTTCACTCCTTGTTGGCAAAAACCGCGACCCAGCCCCGCGGGTGGGCCCAGGCCTGCGCAGCAAGCACATAGACAAAAAGCAACAGGGGCAAGGTGTTTCCCAGCCAGGCATAAAGGCTCTAAATGCTGTAACTTCCCCAAATACTCTTGCACCCCAAGCTAAGCAGAGTGGCAACAGCGCTTAAAAAGAAGCAAAGCGGGGAAGCGCTTTTGCTGGTTGCCCTGGGTCCCAAAGCCAGGCTGTTAAAAACGGCAGTCAAAAACAAAACAACAGGAGCTGAGGCAGGAGAATTGCCTGAACCCAGGAGGCGGAGGTTGTGGTGAGCCAAGATTGCGCCATTGCACTCCAGCCTGGGTAACAAGAGCGAAACTCTGACTCAAAAAAACAAAACAAAACAAAACAAAAACAAAAACAAAAACAAAACACTTCCCCCAGGGTGTTTGCCTGCAGGCCACGGATCCCTGTGTGGGCAGTGGCTCAAAAAGTAAATCAAAAGCAGGGTCAACATAGTGTTGTATTTGACCCATCGTAGAAAGTTAGCACCAAGACAAAAGTATGCCAGATTGCAGGGTCATTTATTATGCCGGCGACCACAGAGGACTCACGTCTCTCCAACCTGTGTCGTCAAAAGGAGGGTGCCAAGGCTTTTTATACCCGAAAAACCACCTTGGGAGTGGGGGTGAGGAGCGGGGATGGGGATGAAAAGGTTTTGGACATTCCAAGGGCTAGGGGATTCTGTGGGGCAGAGACGAGGGCGGGGGTCTCCGGACATTCCAAGGGCCAGGGGGCTTTTTTCATTCTGTTTGTTACTTCAGTGGTTTACGGAAGTCAAGATAAGCATTTGTTTACACACAGATCTTAATTATCCTGGGCTGCTTATTTTAGTTATTACTAAATAACTAAAGCAAAGGCTAGCAATTCTGGCACAATATCACAATAGCAACCAAAAACTGCAGGGGCAGGGCATGGTTCCCAAAACTCACAGCAAATGCTGCTTTTAAACTAACAGCAGCAAGTGGCTTTTTTTCCCTCAGCACACCGGCCAAAAAAAAAAAAAAAAAAAGCAGCTGCTGGCTGTCAGCCCTGCCTGGCTTTCGGTCATCCACACCGCCTCGAAGAGCAGCATTCTCATTCAAAATACGGCATAAAAAAGCTTTCTACCACCCGGCGCGGTGTCTCATGCCTGTAATCCCAGCACTTTGGGAGGCCGAGGTGGATAGATCATGAGGTCAAGAGACCATCCTGGCCAACATGGTGAAACCTTGTTTCTAGTAAAAATACAAAAATTAGCTGGGCATCGTGGTGGGCGTCTGTAGTTCCAGCTACTTGGGAGGCTGAGGCAGGAGAATTGCTTGAATCCGGGGGCAGAG